TACGGGGGCGGATACAGGATTAGTTAATTACAAAACAATGCCGAACAATTTCTGACTGAGAAAACTGGCGGAAGGGGGTTTAATATATTTATATATACATTAAAATACATATGAATAAAAAGATAAATGCAGGGAAAAACTAGTCTTATTGTGGGAACCCTTGGACATCATTGTACTCTGCAACAAGCATGATTCGCATCCATCACTGTTTTCTGTTCTGAGCATTTTTGAGAATATTATATACGTATTAGGCCCGTTCACACATAACACTTAGTGCGATTTGGATCGCAATGCAAAGGTCTATTTCGTGTTTGCGACCGTTAACACATGTCGATTTAGTGCGAATTGGATCGCGATGCAAAGATTGATGTTGTTGTTGTTGTTTTTTTTTTTTTGGGGGGGTGACCATTCACACACAGGGAGAATACTCGCTCGACGACAAGAACGTCCGAATGCTGCGCATGCGTGAATCTCGACGATATATGCGCGCTTGGAATCCTGGGATTAAATAAATCGACTTCTGAATTTCAATACCATTCACACAAAGTATCGCGATTATTCTGAACAAATCGAAAGGCTTACTGCGAATTGGAATCGCGAAGATAAGTGAAATTATTCTGTCCACACACGCAAAAAAAATGATTTTCAATTTTTTTTTTTTTTTTTTTTTTTTTTTAAATCTCACTTTTTCTGTAGGTGTAAACCTCCCTTATTGTTTGATCTCAAACGTATTCTTGTATATGCACCACATGATAACTAACTAATCTCTGTGTAATTTTTATAAACAAAAATATCACGACAATTTTCCCTCCAATTGTTTGACAGATACAATATGTCACCAAACGAGGAGTAGACCCGCTATGGCTAAACCTTCTACATGCACCGGTCCGGAGATCTAGCTATGGAGTTGATCGAGGCCAATATGTAGCTAATGAGCGACGGACAGACGGACAGACGGTCAGACGGAAGGAAGGGGGAATCGCCAGCAAGATGTCTACAATTTGTTACTTAAGCTATTGTTTTAAAGTAACATTTCAGATTTATATTTCATGTTTAAATTTTGTTGAGGGAAAAATAGTTTGAAATCCCTGTTGAGGGAAAAATAATTTGGAATCCCTGTTGGAGGATACATATCGTCCTTGTTTTCACGAAGTGACGGTAGTGAGGAAAATCGTAATGCAAAGTGAATGCAATTTTTTTTCGCTACCGTCACTTCGTGAAAACAGCGACGATATTTTGGAATACCTATAGAGGGAAAAAGATTTTGGAATCCATGAGAGGGGACAAGATTTTCAAATCCCTGTGGAGGGAAAGATAATTTGGAATCCCTGTGCAGGGAAAGATAATTTGGAATCCCTGTGGAGGGAAAAATAATTTGGAATCCCTGTTGAGGGGTAAATAATTTGGAATCCCTGTTGAGGGGAAAATAATTTGGAATCCCTCTTGAGGGAAAGATAATTTGGAATCCCTGTGGATCAAAGTCAACTTCTGTTGAAAGGGCTGTTGGTAGTAAATAAATAAACTAACATTACTTTGATTCTTTTGAAGAGTGTATATTCATGAAATTGTAAGACGTGGGTATCAATGCATATTATATCGGATACAAAGGCGAATTGTACTTGTGATAATTTGTTTCTCAAAAATTCTAAAGTAATTTAAGGAGCTGGAACTCCAATACCATGATACAACGAATTTGTAAACATGTGAAGTGCGACTAAAAAATGCCTCGAAAAAAATTGAATGAATGTCTGTTTTATTTTCTTTAAACCTAATTTATTTTTGATTGATTGATTGATTGACTGATTGATTTGATTGATTGGTAGGTAGCTTGATTGATTTTTCGTGTCATTGATAATTGGGTGGTTGGGTTGTTGTATTGACTGACTGACTGATATATAGATTGGAAGATTGCTTGGTTGGTTGATTTTGTAATTGATTGGTTGTTTGTTTTATAGACTGAATTTTTCGACTGATTAGTTAGTTGTTGTTGGGTTCTTTACTAACTGACTGATTCCTTGATTGATTGATTGATTGATTAAATGAATGATCGGTTGGTTTGTTGGTTGGATGATTTCTTTTTTGATTGATCAATCGTTTGATATATTATATTTCCGATTAGTTTTGTTGTTGGTATGTTGGTTGATATTCGCAATGGATTGATTGATTGATTGGTTGTTGGGTTGATAGATTGAATTTTCGATTGGTTGGTTGATTGGTTCGTTTACCGGTCGCTTACTTGCTTGTAGTAGTGTCCCATAATAAGGACTGCTGAAGTTCTAATGTTCCTATGTAACAGGTTAGAACTTTAATTGACCCAATTTTTTAAAATAAATTTTTACGTAGTCCCATAAACTATTTTATAAATTATTTTTCTATCATCCAAATTACATAGTAGCTACAATGATTATTCAGGGTAGTAATAATGATTGATAAATACTTTATAATTTAGAAATAAACTTTAAAGCAGCCCCCCCCCCCCCCCGAATAATAACGAGGGCCTGAGGTGGCGAGGGGCTCGAGCACTCTAAAATACTAAATGCATATTTAATATTTAATAGAACATTTCTTGCAACGTTAAACGATTCACAGTCTATAACAAATAATCTTTAAACCACTAGATGTTTATGCAAGGGAGGAATGGAAGTGGTGACGTTAAACAATACGATACATGTGATGAGGAATTGTTTATTTTGATACGTTTCAATGGCTGCGATATCAAAGTAACGTGCTTTGAATCGTCTTGACATGAATCCACTTGATATTGATGTTATATGTAACATGTTTAGTACAGGAACACTTTTCCGGTTTTTTTTTCATCATTTATTAATTGAATAATGATTACAAAGAAAAATACATCAATTATACTTCTATCAAAACATTAATTATACGTTTTTTTAACATAATTTTTTTTCTCCAGAGGTGATACTTTTCAACATATGCCCTCCAAAATATTTCTTTAAACAAAATGTCGAATATGTTGTAAAATTACATTTTCTTTTTTTTTGTGTACATGTATTTAAAACTTAAGAAGCTATAGACTGATAAATACATTTTTAAAAACTATATATTTTTAATTTATATCACATTGCCTGCCTGAAATCATACCACTGTAATCATTTTTTTCATTATCAAACAATACTTTTGCTTTTCTGTAAGAAAAATTAAGAACTTGATCCAAAATAATCACGATCATGAAATAAATGATAATAACCCACAAATATTCGGTAATTTTGAACCATCCGTTAAAAAACGAGATTTACGTTTTATTCCACCTAATGCCAACGTTGGCTTTTTTTGTTGACTTTTTCGTGTTGGTTATAATACTCACAACCAGTCGGCCCACGTATTGTTACTATTAATTGAATAATTAATTAACGGTCACCGTATTTTTGTTAAAATGAGCTGAATTGGTATGATCGTATTTTATTGTATTTGGTCTAAAATTACCTTCATAGTAATTTTAGCTCCTAAAAGGGCACTAGAACTGTCATAAATAAAAATGAGAGCAATAACCATGCAATTTGAAGACATTTGCGGTCTTAAACAAGAACTCAACTATCTATCCCTTTAAAGTTGCGATGTCGCAATCGACTGCAATTGCAGTCATTGACGTAACAAAACGTTGCAATAAAGACACCTTGCCGAAGGAGAGATCACAGTGCATTGCGCAATAATATTTGAAGCCCCTGGGGGTACATTATATAGGGACACTTTTGATTGGCCGATGGAATAAACATAATTGTTTGTCTTGCATTCTAATCAAGGAACGTTATAGAAATGCGGATCATTTCTTCTCATAAATTAAAGAGGACTAGTTGGTAAATAATGTTAGCCTATCTCCCTTTGTACCGGTAAAATATTGGGAATCTAAAGCATGGTCCGAACTTTTCAGCTGTTTCAAATCATGTTTCGAACAAGGAGGGCATCAGAAGGGGCAATATTTAATGGGACTTTTATTCTAATTCACTCTTCCAAACTGAGGTAGCAACAATGAGAAAGCTCACAATTTGATTCCCTCTTCACCAGATTCCAACCTTCTCTTTAAAGTCACATTGTCGCAATCGACTGCAACTGAAGTCACTGACGTAATAAAATGTTGCAATAAAGACATCTTGCCAATGCGAGATCACAGTCCATTGCGAAATAATATTTGAAGGACGATAAAATCCAGAAAAGATCTCGCTAGAATAATTCTCAAAATACCGATTTAGAAAAAGAAAATTAAGGGTATTTTAGCTTACTAAAATTAAATGTTTTATTTTTCTCAGATTTTATCTCAGATAAAAAATAATCTAAAAATCCCGCATCTGGCTACCCTACGGATAATATATAACAAGCCTTATAAGTAACCCCATTATTATACCTAAGAGCATGTTGCCTAAGAGCATAGACATAAAACTCATTGCATGTACGAGCTTTGATATAACTTCATGTAAAGTATTTCTCATTGTTGTACGGTAAAATACGTGTTTTTGCAGTGTTGTTGTTGTTGTTGATGGTGGTTTAATGTAGATTATCAATGGATGGTTGGATCATTAAAGGTAATACAAAGTTTTGGTATGGGGTCATGAATTTGGTTCAAATGAACATATTGGAAGCATATGCGATCCTTCTATATTCTAATAAATTTTTCCAAACTGAGGTAGAAATAATGAGAAAGCTCACATTTTGATATCCCCCCCCCCCCATTCACCAGATCCCAACCTTCTCTTTAAAGTCACGATGTCGCAGTCGGCTGCAACTGCAGTCACTGACGTAACAAATCGTTGCAATAAAGACACCTTGCCAAGGCCAGATCACAGTCCATTGCGAAATAATATTTGAAGCCCCTGAGGGTACATTATAAGGACACTTCTGATTGGTCGATGGAATAAAGACGCGGGCTCTGATTGGACAGACGAGGTAATAAGATTTCCGGAAGTGCATGGGCGTAGGGTAATTAATGCACTTCGTCTTGCTGCCCTATATAAAGATATCATTAGTAATATATCTTCACTTGAGGGGGAGGAAGCCGTGGTATACGGCAGGAGCGAAACACTTTTATAGATGCATTTGTTCATCGATTTCTATTTCAATTTTAAACATAGTAGTCTTGATAGACTTCTTTTGGCATCATCTGGAGCAAATTGTCTGCACAGGTAAGAGAACATCTATGTATTCATTTTCATTGTAATTATCTATATAGGCAAAGTAAAATCATTTCTTGTTTCCCGTGAAGATAAGACAACCCTTATGAAGAGAGTTTTCGTTTTATTTCATATTTCATATTTCTCCGAAATTGGGGTGGTCTTTTCAATAATGGTAAAAAGGATCTATGAAATTGAAAGTGATAGAATAGCCTTATCTTTGGGGTTCCAGTAGCTTATGACTGAATTTATACTCTGTATGAAGTGTCTATTATTAGAAAAAAGCCATAATTCGTTTCCATCCTATTTATCAAAGCAATTTCATTTATCTTTTATTCATCATTTATTACACACTTTTTCATCAATCTTATTTTTTTAGATTTTTACTCCAGAAATTTGAGTTTTATCAATTATAAATTTGAAAAAATTGTGTTTTTTTTGTTTTTGTTGTTGTTGTTGTTGTTGTTGTTGTTGATTGACTGAGCAATCATAGAATCACTAACTACCGAACCCATTGATAATGCTAATTTTTAATCCTATCACCAAAGACCATTTTTTAGAGCTTACTTTCAATTCATTTCAATAAGTATTGTGATGTGATTTTGAATTTAGATACAATCTCGCTAAAATGATTCTTAGATTTATACCAATTTTTTAAAAATAAATCAAGGGTATTTTTTAGCTTACTAATATGTTGAAAGGGGATATTAAATGAAAAATCCCGGAAAGGTAAGGATTATTACCAAAAAATATGAATCTATATTGGAGTTAGATAAATGACATATTATTTTTGTCACAAAATAAATGTTCAAATGGGACCTTAGCACAGTTTGAATGTATATGATGACAATGCAGTTTTTAACCTTATAGCCATAAAATAGTGTATTTATTGTATTTTCTTGCATAAAAGACATGTATATCTCAGTTCGCACTACCTCTCCTTCCCATCCCTTCTTCTCCGGAGCTTACTTCGAAGTATCGGGTCATCGCGTTACCCACCCTTTGTGAAAACGTGCCCCTTTATTCACGAACTTAAGGGGATAATGTTTTTGAAATAAACCCCTCTCATCTACAAAGACGTGTCCTGTAAATTGGATCCGACCCTTCGGCAAATCTACGAAAGATCGCGTGATCTTCCGCTTTCGTATCACAAAGTCGTGTATTAAACGTGACGACCCGACCGGATGTGATGACCCGATGATTCGAAGTGAGCCCTTCTCTTACAACCTCATTCTCTAATCGCTTCATCTCCTGCTTTCTCATCCTATCTAATCGTCCCATTACTACATGCTCTCATGTCCTCCATTCCTTCTCTCTCCCTCCTAGCACTTTTAAAAATAATGGTCCACAATAGCTGTTACTTGTCATATTCCAAATATGAGAGCATTTTAAAAGTAATCCTTTGAAGGGATGTTTTTTCTATGACGCTCTTACACACTAGCATATCAAAAAGAATATAAACATTATACATATATGTTTTCACATTTCCTAGAAATCAACCTTCTCTTTAAAATGTTTCCTCTGTATGCCCCTACGTTACGTCTACATCACTTTGCCAACATTAATTTCGTACTTTCCCTAATTATCCTTTTATGAATGTAAGACAAGCTTTCTACAATTTTGCAACTTGTACAGATATAATATGTCTTCGAGTCAGCCTGCATCACAGGCGAGCGCTGGAGCCAACAGCTTGGGCTACAGCCCCAGTGGAATCAGGTCCGACAGCCGCGCACCCTCTTCAATTGCGACGCCGAAGGTTTACGCCCCATCTGCCTCAAAGATACCGTCCACGGGGAGCAAGGGCAAAAACTCTGGAGGCGGTGGCGGGCGTAGGAAGTAGACTGGACATTCGGGACCGGTCTGGAGATCTAGTTGATCGAGGCCAACTTATTGAGGTCCACGTAATTGTAGTGACAGACAGATTTGAAGGAGGAATCGCTAGCTGTTCAAATTTTGAAAAGCATATATAAGTATTATTATTTGATTCCAATTTTATCCTATCATGCCCGTAACCATATAAGTAGCGTAAGCATGGGTGGAGTTGGTGTTGGTGGGGTGGAAAGGTGCCGGGCCGAGCAGCAAGCTCCTCAATGACCAGGCCCTGGCCATCCACAAATCATATATCTACAGTTGCTGGCTGTATTTAACGGTGCATGTCACTCACGTGCCTGGTCTTCGCCGCCTAATAAAAAAAAACCTCATATGATTGACGCCTCGGAGTAGGCTAAGTCTAACGCTAATAAAAAATTGCATTTAAAGGAGGTAATTTTTATTCAAGGAACTCCAGTCTACTCATTATTTTCCCTGAATTTTAAAGGAATACAAGTAACCTTTAAAAATTTGCAAAGTTTCCCCAGGTTTTCATTGGCCAAATGATAGCAAAGGTGATGATGATGATGATGATGATGATAATGATGATTTATTGTGCAGTGCTCTACTTTCAATGTTGCTCGCCGAAAAATTTAATTTCTTTCTTATTATCCTTCGTTTCATGATGTTTTTCTTTCTAGAACGTTGTGATTTCGAAAAGTGCACCAATTGCGGCATTATAAATGACGGCACGGAGGCCAAATACCCTTTAATTTCCAATATCAAAGTATGTCTTTCAATGTGCAAAAAAAGTTTATGTATTCGTAATCGTGTAAAATGTACACGATAAGGCCTACAGCTATTGTGTAATTGTAGTAATGACGTTTAATTGGTCCTTTATTTAATATTAAAATATGACCTTTAATGTACAGTAAGTAATCAAATTGTTTCATCCTTACCCTGCTGGTTTGATTTAATTCTAATAAAATGTCCGCAAATTTAAAAAGTATTTGTTATCATGTACAAAACCATAGGAAAATAGGAAAATTGTTAATTTATAATAATCTGTTATTTCATTTGTCCGTTCTAGTTGCCCGTAAGGCATCAAATACCTTCAATTTCTTCTCCCTCTTAATTTGTTTTAAATTTCATCTGTCAATGAGTCTCTGTAATTGTCTAATATTCTACATTAAAAAGCCTCGAATGAAAGAAAATATATTATAGCCTATTGATTATCATTTCGAGATGTACATTAAAAAAATGTGTGAATTGCCTCAATGCGGATCATCTAAATCAGGCCTTCTCAACAAGTTTATTAGAAGTACCAAAACGAAAAGAATTTGTAGTTGAAGTGCCACCCTGTACGGTTGACTGTGCTGCGAGGGAGCGTAGCGACCGAGCCGAAAATGGGTGGGGTCCAGGGCGAAGCCCTAAAGGGGGGGTAGCAGGGGGCGGAGCCCCCTGAAGCTGGTGGATTTAGGGCTTTTAACACCATTTCATTCCACAATATAATCAATCATAATTTCATAATGATGTGAAAAAAATAGTACAATTCCTGAGTACAATTACACTGGAGATATATTTATATGTAGTTTTTTTGTGTGCAATAAACACGTGCAATAAAGTGAAAATCAAACAAACAAAAACAAGATGTTTCCAGATATTGGCAATGTTAAAATTGGTATCCCATCGTAAGCTAAATTGTAAATTGTTGTTCAGACCTTAGGTTTAGATTCGTATAAAATGGTAAAAAACAATAAATTCCCCTTTCTTCCTGTTTGTTAAGCAGGGATTTTGGGCTCAAATTCGACTGCAACTTTTTGATTTAGCTGGGTATTTAATTCTAAAATATATATTTTCTTTCTTTCTTTTTGTTTTTTGTTTTGTTGCAACAATCGCGCGCCACTCCGACTGACCGCAAGCGCCACAAGTGGCGCGCGCGCCGCCAGTTAAGAAGGCCTGATCTAAATGGTTGATTAGTTTGTGTTGTTATTGTTTGACTGAAATATTGATTGATTAAATGATTGAAAGGTTGATTGATTGAGTGATTGAGAAAAACTATTTCCTTCAATCCAAGCTGGAAAAATACTGGATTGTAAACTATTCTATGACGCCACCCCTTAGAGATGTTACAAACTTCTGATTGGTCGATGATTACAGAGCGCGGGCTCTGATTGGACAGATGAGTTTGGAATTCCCCAATAGTGGGCGTGGCATATTATATATTATCATACACTAATAGGATACAACATTATAAACATAGCATGATGTACAGTATTTTGAATATATATATATATATATATATATATATATATATATACACTGTCGCTCATAACGGTGGAATATTTTAGTTTTACCTCAATTTATGGAATTATTTTAAAAATTATTTAAAAATAGTAGATATAGATAATAGTATACATTCTCAGATTTTATTGAATAATAACTTGCCAATGTGTGTTTTGCGGAACTGCTAAAGCATGTGTATGCTAATATGCTTATTAACTAGGGGACCTACGCTCTCAAGTCATAAATGACAGTAATGAGGATTAATGCCCCACAAAAGGGCACTAATATAGCACATCGACACGGTTTTGATCCTGGGGCCTCACAGTTACGAGGCCATTGTTTTGTCACTGAACCATGACTGTACGCAGCGGGGGCTAGGGTAGGGGGCAGTTTCCATAATTAAAAAAACACACAGAAAATGCAATAAATTTTCAATAATTTATTGCATTTTACCCCTGTCCCTAACATAAAAAAAATCCTATCGACAGCCATGCATTATGGCTCAAGGCATGGGCACACATAATTTTGTTTAATGTTAGGCACTGGGGTTAAATGCAATAAATTATTGAAAATGTATTGCATTTTTTGTGTTTTTTTTTAATTTATGGAAACTGCCCCCTACCCTAGCCCCCGCTGCGTACAGTCATGATTCAGTGACAAAGCAATGGCCTCGTAACTGTGAGGCCCCAGGATCAAAACCATGTCGATATGCTATATTAGTGCCCTTTTGTGGGGCATTAATCCTCATTACTGTCATTTATGACTTAATGGCATAGGTCCCCTAGTTGATAAGCATAATAGCATACACATGCTTTAGCAGTCACA